AGACTCCAACTCAAAAAAAAAAAAAAGAGAGAGAGAGATGGGGGTCTCAATTCATTGCCCAGGCTGGTCTCCAGCTTCTAGGCTCAAGCAGTCCTCCTGCCTCAACTCTACAGTAAATCAAAAAATTAGCTGGGCATGGTGGCACATGCCTGTAGTTCCAGCTACTTGGTTGAGGTGGAAAGATCACCTGAGCCCAGCAAGTTGAGGCTACAGTGGCCGTGAGTGTGCCACTGCACTCCAGCCTGGGCAACAGAGTGACATTCCAACTCAAAAAAAAAAAAAAAAAAAGATCCAGATTTCTGGAGGAAAAGATCTGGTTGCTTTAGCTTGTGTGGAGGTGAGGAATGGGATATTGTGATTGGCAACCCCACTAGCACCATATGAAATCTGGGAGGGTCAGTTCCCAAGAGAGAAGTGATGTTGGGCAGACAAAAGCAATGGTTGTTTATTAGACATATGTAGCGTTTATAGAGTATGGGCCAGGCACTGTGCTACGTTATTTATATGGATTATGATAGTTGATTATGAAATTTAATTCTCACAACTCTGGGAGGTGGATACTGTTATATCACACCCGTTTTACAGAAGATACAGGTTTATAGAGGTAAAATAATTTGCTGAGCATCGCAAAGCTAAGGTGTAGTAGAGCTAAGTTGCATATCTTCTCTTTATCCTGTCCCTTTCATACATGTGTCACTTTTGTTCACTCATAGGTAGTCATCAAGCTTTGGTGTGTGTGTGGGGGCCAGTTCTGAAGTTTGAAGAAGCTCTGCACTGAGGAAGATCAAAGCAGCAGCCTTTGCCAGTTAGGGAATGGACCGTTTGGGTTCCTTTAGCAGTAAGTACAGTGGGAACAAGTCTCAGGTGAATATTAATAGCAAACCAAAGTGGAATTTAATCAAGGAAGAAAAGTAGCACTTAGAAGTTAAGCAGTAAAACCCTGTGAATCTGATCTTAAAGGAATTATGAGTATCAAATCAAAATAAAATCAACTAATACTTATTGACTGCCCACTGAACACATGAGGAACATATCACTCAGGGTCTTAGAAGAAAATGCAGTTGCGATACCAGACATAGTATGATTAGCCTATAGTTAGACTTTAAAAAGTAGTGGGATTTCTCTTTAGAGCGAATAGTATGTTTTAGGCATCCTAATAAGAAATATCATCAGTGATAAGATAAAGTCAATATCTTCCCCTCCCTCCCTGCTTTATGTAGAATTTGTTTCTAAGAATAAATCACAGTACAGTAATAGTACAGAGAATTGGTATATGTGTGAAGTAAATTTAAGAAGCCACAAATATGAAGAAAAAAATAGACTGTTCTTTCTCTGATCCTGAAGATGTGAACTTTGGCAGAATAGAAATCCCGTTGTTAGATGTCTAGTAGTCTCTCAGTCAGAAAGGTACTTTTTGGGTGTTGTTTCTTTTATTTATTTATTTATTTTTGAGTTGGAGTCTCACTCTAACGTTCTCACTAGCCCAGGCTGGAGTGCAGTGGCACACTCACGGCCATTACAGCCTCAACCTGCTGGGCTCAGGTGATCCTTCCACCTCAGCCTTCTAAGTAGCTGCAACTACAGGCACATGCTGCCACGCCTAGTTGTTTTTTTATTTATTGTAGAGACCTGGACTCACCAAGCTGCTCAGGTTGGTCTTAAACCCCTGAACTCAGGCAATCCTCTCACCTCAGCCTCCCAAAATGCTGGGATTACAGGCTTGAGCCCCCATGCCTGGCTTTTTTTTTTTTTAAGGCAAGGTCTTGTTCTGTTATCCCAGCTGGAGGACAGTAGCATGATCGTAGCTCACTGTATCCTTGAACTCCTGGCCTCAAACAATCCTCTTACTTCAGCCTCCTAAAGTACTGGGATTACAGTCATGAGTCACCGTGTCCAGCTAGCAATTTCTTACACAAGCTCTAATTTACCCTATTACCACACTCTTTATATAAATTTAGGAGAGAATGGAGTCTCCAAACAAATCTAGTTCAATCCTTCCCTTTTGCGTGTGGAGATAGTATCTAAATGAATTGTTCTACTGACAGAAGTGTAAACTGAAATCTCTCCTTTCCCACCCTTTTTTTTTTTTGAGTTGGAGTCTCACTCTGTCGCCCAGACTGGAGTGCAGTGGCTGCTCCCGGCCACTGCAGCCTTGACCTGCTGGGCTCCAGTGATCCTTCCGCCTCAGCCTTCCAAGCAGCTGGAACTACAGGCGTGGTGCCTGGCTAATTTTTTTATTTATTGTAGAGATGAGGTCTCGCCAAGTTGCCCAGGCGGGTCTTGAACCCGCGGGCTCAGGCAATTCACTCACCTCAGCCTCCCAAAGGCGTGGGATTACAGGCTGAACCACTGAGCCCAGCTCTTTCCCACCCTTTTTTTTTTAATTGTTAAGCTTCTTATTTCGAAATAATTTCACATTTATAGGAAGTTATAAGATTAAGAATACAAAAAATACTCATATACCTTTGGTTAGCCTTTTACCTAATTTGCTTTGTCCTTGCACCCACCTACTGTCTACATAATATATCTGTATAGACACAATCACACCACTTTTGTTTTCTGAACATATACCATGGTAAGTGGAGTACATCATGTCACTTTAAGGTAAGTGACATATATTATGGCCCTTTACTCCTAAGTACTTTAGTGCTTATTTCTTTTTTTTTTCCCTTTCTTTTTTTTTTTTGAGTCAGAGTCTCACTCTGTTTCCCAGGCTTGAGTACAGTGGCGTGCTCAGGGCTAGTGCAGCCTTAGCCTACTGGGCTCAGATGATCCTTCTGCCTCAGTCTTCCAAGTAGCTAGAATTACGGGTGTGTGCCACCACGCCTGGCTAATTTTTAAAATTTCTTTTTTTGTAGATATGAGGTCTTACTGTGTTGCCTAGGCTAGTCGCCAACCTATCCTCCTACCTCAGCCTCCCAAAGTGCTGGGATGACAAGTGTGAGCCACCACACCTGGCCGTGCCTTCTCTAATTCTTTATTCATATGTCTCTTCTTCAGTAAGAACCCTAGCTTGCAACCATATTGACACATTTACTCATTTGTTCAGTTTTTTAATACATCTGAAATTATTTCAGAATTACTTTGTATATATTACTATATAAAACAGACCTACCTCAGCTGGCCACTGTGGCTCACACCTGTAATCCCAGCACTTTGAAAGGTGGAGGCTAGAGGATTGCCTGAGACCAGGGGTTCAAGACCAGCCTTGGCAACCTGGTAAGACCTCATCTCTACAATAATTCAAAAAAATGAGCTGGGTGTGGTGACATGTGCCTGTAATTCCAGCTACTTGAAAGACTGAAGTGGAAGGATCGTCTGAGCCCAGCAAATAGAGGCTGCAATGGCTATGAGTACGCCATTATACTCCAGCCTGGGTGATAGTGAGACTCCGACTCAAAAAAATAAAAAAAAATTTTTAAAAGAGGTCGGTGGTACAGCCTGTAATCCTGCACCTTTGGGAGGCTGAGGTGAGTGGATTGCCTGAGCCCGCGGGTTCGAAACCCGCCTGGGCAGCGAGACCTCATCTCTACTATAAATCAAAAAATCAGCCAGGCATGGTAGCGTGTGCCTGTAATTCCGGCTGCTTGGAATGGTGAGGCGGAAAGGATCGCTGGAGCCCAGCAGTCGAGACTGCGGTGGCCGGGAGCGGCCACTGCACTCCAGTCTGGGTGACAAAGTGAGACTCCACCTCAAAAAAAAAAGAGGTCTACTTCAAAAGTTCAAGATTTTTTGCAGTTCTGCCCTGCATATTGTGAAATGGTTCATAAGTTAAATTGATTCCTTTTTTTCTCTTCATGTGATGATAGTATTGTTCTAAAATACTATGGGTTCATGTGTTTCACTTCAGTGTTCCTTTCCCATCTTTACTGGTTTATTTATTTTTAATGTGTAGAGTGGAAATATTGTTCCAAAAGTCAAAACTATGCAAAAAGATATATTTGGAGAAGTGTTATCTCTCCTATCTCTTCCATTTCATTCCAGTTCCCTGTTCTCCAACCCCTTGTACTTACCCATCTTCCTTGTTTTCTGACTTATCTGTCTGCTAAATCTTCTTGTAAAGATAAAAGGACATATTTTTTTAATTTTCTTTAATTTTGTACAGAAAAGAAAGCATACTATAATGCTCTTCTGTACCTTTTCCCCCACTTAATAATATCTCCTGGAAATACTATACTGGTTTATAGAGATTGTCCTTATTTATTTATTTTAGATTGGAAAATATAGTTTATTTAGAAAGTAAAAGAGAGAGAGCGAGGAATTGATTCACCTCCCTAAGGCAGGAGGTGACCAGAGCTAGGAAACATGGTGACCATGGCTCAAGCAACTTAGCAAAACAATGGCCTTTTCTTTTTTTTTTTTTTTTTGGAATTTCATGGTACTTTATTGTGTGCATATACCATTAGTTTATTCAAATAATTGCTAGTAATTGGACATCTAAGTCGTATTTTGCAATTACAAACAATATATATATTTTTGAGTCGGAATCTCACTCTGTTGCCCCGGCTAGAGGGCAGTAGCAATCATGCCCCCGCAGCCTCGACCTGCTGGGCTCAGGTGATCCTTCCACCTCAACCTTCCAAATAGCTGGAACTACAGACATGTGCCACCATGCTCAGCTAATTTTTCTTGATTCATTGTAAAGATGAGGTCTCACCATGTCGCCCATGCTGGTCTCAAACCTGTGGGCTCAGGTAGTCCTCTCACCTCAACCTCCCAAAATGCTGGGATTATAGGCATGAGCCATCGGGCCCAGCTACAAAAAATATTTTAATGAATAACCTGGACATATATATTTTTGTACTATTGGAGATATATATTTAAGGTTAATCCCTAGAAGTAAGATTGCTAGGTCTAAAGATAAAAGACTGCATAGTTTTGTTTAGACACTGCTAATTCTCCTCTGTAAAAGCTACACTATTTTTTTTTTTGAGTCATGGTCTTACTCTGTAGCCTAGGCTGGAGTGCAGTGACACAGTCATAGCTTACCAAAACCTTGACCTCCTGGGCTTAGGTGATCTTCATCTCAACTTCTGAAGTAAGCTGGGACTGCGCCTGGCTAATTTATTATTTTTTATTTTTTTATTTTTATTTTTGTAAAGACAAGGTCTCACTATATTTCCCAGGCTGGTCTTGAACTCCTGGGATTAAGTAATCCTCTCACCTTGACCTCACAAAGTGTTAGGATTATAGGTGTGAACCACTGCACCTGTTTTTTGTTTGTTTGGGTTTTTTTGAATTGGAGTCTCACTCTGTCACCCAGACTGGAGTGCGGTGGGACGCTGCTCTTGGCTACCGCAGCTTCCACCTGCTGGGCTCAGGCAAACCTTCCGCCTCAGCCTCCCAAGTAGCTGGAGCCACAGACATACGCCACCATGCCTGGCTAATTTTTTGATTTACTGTAGAGACAAGATCTCACCATGTAGCTCAGGCTGGTCTCGAACCCCTGAGCTCAGGCAATCCTCTCACCTCTGCCTCCCAAAGTGCTGAGATTACAGGCTTGAGCCACCACACCCAGCCTGTTTTTTTTGAATTGCTTTTTTTTTTTAGGAGACAAAATCTTGCTCTGTCACCCAGGCTGGAGTGCAGTGGCCCATTCATAACTCACTACAGCCTCAAACTCCTGAGCTCCAGGGACCCTCCCACCTCAGCCTCCTGAATAGCAGGGACTGTAGGTAAATACCATCATGACCTGCTAATTAAAAAATATATATTTTGGCCAGGCTCAGTGACTCAGCCTGTAATCCCAGCACTTTGGGAGGCCGAGGCAAATGGATTGCCTGAGCCCACGGGTTTGAGACCAGCCCAGGCAGCTTGGTGAAACGTCGTCTCTACAAT